TGTGTGTGTGTGTGTGTGTGTGTGTGTGTGTGTGTGTGTGTGTGTGTGTGTGTGTGTGTGTGTGTGTGTGTGTGTGTGTGTGTGTGTAGTTTTTTTTTTTTTTTTCTATTTGTGTTTATGTATGTATGTATGTATGTGTATGTATGTATGTATGTATGTATGTATGTATGTGTATGTGTATGCATGTATGTATGTATGTATGTATGTATGTATGTATGTATGTATGTATGTATGTATGTATGTATGTATGTATGTATGTATGTATGTATGTATGTATGATGTATGTATGTATGTATGTATGTATGTATATGTATGTATGTATGTATGTATGTGACCCTTCTCACATGACGTAAGAGCTCTCATGTAAACAAAATGCACATGCATACTGTGAGGCAATAGACAACATGAGCCTGTGATTAAGAAGAAACACTGGAAACACCTGATCATAGGATTTTTCTCTTTTCTCTTTGATGGCCTGATGTCTTGCTTTTCTTTTCTGTTGACCGACAATTTTGATCATCGTTCTTGTTGCCGTGTGTTTAAAGAGTGCAGGTACCCAGTCTGGATTTTCAGGGTCATCTGATCTCTTGCCTGTGAAAATAGTGAAGTGAACTGATTTATTTTCAGTAAATACTAAGTTTATACCAAACAAAAGGGATCACAGCTAGTAAGCATATAAAATGGAGAATCCTAATTAGAGTGGAAATTGTAACAAAATTCTTCTGAAATGGTTCTGCGACTCATCAATCAAGAGTCTGTTGTTAGAAACTGGACCACAACTTATATCATTAACTTTATCAAGCTGAAAGATACACAAAATGATATGATACATTCCTGATATGAAGTGCTCTCCACACAGTTTGGCCAAGTCTTCCAGTCTTCTCTTTAGATTGCATATATCCAAGCTTCCCTTCTCAGCTTTTCGATTGGAGTTTTCCCTTTTGGCACACTATGAAAAGGCATCAAAGATTTTTTTCCAATCTTGCAGTTTGTACAACATACAGCATAACTGTGGCATTTTTTCATATAAAGTGTAATGTAAATCACAAAAGTTCAGCATTCAACTTTCAACAAAATTTTCCAACAGATGGTGCTAAAAAGACTTAGATCCTACTGCATCTTAGTGATGACATTCATGGCCAAACAAGTGAACATCTGTTTCCCACACGGAATACAGAACAGGCTTGACTTTGCATGGCATGCTCACTTGTTACTAGGGTTATAGGTGCACTGTATCATGGCAAGAATAGATGCCGTACGACATGAAATGTTAAATTCTGTTAAGGCAGTGTAATGATACCTGTGTAATGTAACTTATGTGATATTGGTTTAGCTATTCAGTGAACACTAGGTAATTTTATATCTGCAGACTTGCAATAAGTACGAAGAATGAATTATTATTTATTTTCCCTTGTAAAGTAAGCTAATGAAATATTCCAAAAGTTAACTACATGTTCCTTCTTTTTTCAGAAAATGAACTCTACTGCTGTAGAATGCAATTCAACAAAGGCAGTGGAAAATACCAAAGAGAACAATAATACAAAAGAGCAAGATGGTCCATCTCGTGTTCGCAAGGCAAAAAAGCCTGAAATACAAATTTATCGGCCAGGAGCCCTTAGACAGAAGCGCTCGAACCAGGTGGGGGATCAAGGAGGGAAAGAGGCAAATGAAGGTAAGGTACCTGAGAGTAAATCTGACAGCAAGGATGATACAGTCAGAGTGGAATCTGGTTCCAGGGCTTCCAGGAAAGGAAGGCAAGGAAAAGGTGGGGATAATACAAGTGGAAATGTACCTGAAACTAAGCAGAATGCTAGCGAGATGGGAAAGAACAGTTCGAGGAAGAGTAGCATAGAATATGTGCAGAGCACACACCTCCATGATAAAACCAACAGAGGAGACTCCACCCATCAGGATGGCAAACCAGGGCGAGGACAGCTCGGGCGAGATGGGAAACGAGCTCAGAGGAATAATAAATTAACTGAAAATACTGGAAAGGTTGAAATTTTGGAAAAAGACAACAAGGAACAAAACCTTAACCATGTTATCACAGAGAGCACCCCAGACCTGAAGGGGAAGCGTCACAGTAGCAACAGGGACAACAGAGGCCGCAGTGACCAGTCAAGGAAAAAGAGAGAAGAAGTTGGTCACCAGAAACTTGATACCATAGATGCAAACTGTGATGAAAAAAGGCTGCCAAAGAAAGAAGCAGGACACCAGAATGCAAGGATGGGGTCAGAGAAGGAAAAGGGCACAGGGAGTAATGCTGGCTTGGAATACCAGGTGAAGCAGAAAGAAGAGAAGTCTCAAGAAAAAGTTTCTAGTCACAGGGAAGAGAAGAAAGTTCCCTCTGGGGCAAATATACAAAATGAAAAGGTCAGGAGAGATGGTGCATTGAAAAACGAAAGAATTGGAGAAAAGGATGATTTGTGCCTAAATAAGGGAGCAAGTGGAGCGAGAGTGCAGTTGGGAAGAGCACCTGAAAAAAAATCTGATTATTCGAGGCAGGTGGATGCCAAACACAGAGGGACTTTTGTGGAGTACCCAGAAAATGCTAACGAAAAAGGGTCTTGGAAATCAAAAGAACATGTAAGATCTGCTTCCATCAAGCAAAGAAGGAGAGAAAAGAACTTTGAGAATGCAAAGAAGTCAGGAAGAGGAAGAGACAGGGAAGGGAATGATGGTTATGAGAAAGTTTCCCAGAAGTTCCATGATAAACTTGACTTAGAGTTTGAAAGTTTCATGGGATATGAAGATAATGGTGATGACAGCAATCAAATATCAGTTCAGGCTTTAGCTAACAAAGTCGATGAGTTGGCCTTAAAAAGTGTTGGCAAGGGACAAGATCAAATTGAGAAAACTGGGAAAGCAAAGAGCTATGCAAGTGCAAGAGAGAACAGAAAGAATCGCATGGGTGGAAAACCCTCGGCTCAAGGCAGGCAGGTGGCAAGTCATGGAGATCTCAAGATAGAAGTCACTGTTAATAAGAATAGCCAAGAAAGAACGGCGTACATCAGACAGGAAAGTGACTTTAAGCGAAATGAGAAGGGAAACAAGTATCATTTGGCTCAAGAACTCAAAGGAGATGACACGGCCTTTTTGCAAGACTCTGATTTCACAGCAAAGTCTGGCTGGTATGGGAAGAGTGTAGGTAGTGCTCATACTGACAAGTTTGAAAAAGAAGATGCAGATCCCATGATATTTGTTGATGTACCTGAGGATGATTGGGGAACTGAGGTGGATAATGATACAGTGTGGTGTAATCAGCAAGGAGACGAATCACCCGCCACATGGACTGAGAAGCCAGATTGGAAGTCCAAGCGAGAGAGTCAAAGGTCAGAGGGGGAGGATCCCCATAGGAGAACCGAAAGCCCTGGGCGCAGGGGACTCATACAGCTGCCATCCCATAATTCAAACAATGATGGACAGGAAGTGGTCTCCTCCTCTTCTCACCATCTTAGGTCATCAACACCTGTAGTGCAGAAACATTTATACAACCCAAATAATCCTAGCAAACCTGTACCTGTTGTACCTAGTGCTCGTGACATGCCTCCGTCCCGTGAAGTGCAACGTGAGGTGGCAAAGGGTGCAGGGGACAACGCGCATGGGTCTGTCCCTGCACATAACAACCAGCTAAGTGAATATGTGATCGAGGGCCAAAGTCCAAAAGTGGACCCATCACTTCTGTACAACATCCAGAAAGGAGAAATGGACATCAATTATTATGTAAGCAGCAATCAACTTCCCTTTGAATTTCGACGGATAATGGACATCAGGCTTCACCTCCAAGTTTGTTACAAGCAGCTATTAGTGACTGACATCCGGATCTGCCAGGAGAAGAACATTGAGGGGAACCTGTGGAAGACGCTGTATTACGTGATAATTGAGAAACTAAGGGAATACATCAGCAGGGAGCCAGGATTAAAGGATCGCAGTCTGGCTACACTGATGATGCTTGTTGAAGAGGGCCATAAATACTTACAAGACTTACTGGAAGCTCTGCAAAGGGAATACAATTTCACACTGGAGGAACACTTGGAAGAGGGAGGAACCTCAAACTCTGTGACAAGAGGCAGGGTGCGGCTCGCATTGATGTCTGCCCAGAAAATACTCCTCTCACTGGGTGATTTAGCACGATACAGAGAGCAGTATAATTCCACTCCCAATTATGCATTGGCAAAGAAGTAAGTATATAGGTAATGTATAGGTTTTGCTAAAGTTTATGGAGATGTGGTTTTGTGTTTATGCATGTGTGATAAAACATCAGTATATTATTATAATTGATTATAATTTTGACAAATAGAATTTTTTTTCATACACAAATATCAAATAGCAGTAAAAGGGAGGTAATAATGATATCCAAATATTATGTTTTCATTTTGTATTATATCCCAGGCACTAAAATCTAATTGTGTTCCAGATGGTACCAGATGGCTCTCCAAGTTCACCCGAGAAATGGCCGTCCGTTTAACCAGCTGGCCATTATTGCTGTTAACCAGGTAGGACTATTATTTTAATCATATCCCTGGAGTGATTATATGGTTGAACTTTTGAGATTCATTCAACAACACTATTTTCTCCCCACCCACAGAAAAGGCCCCTAGATGTTGTGTATTACTATGTGCGCTCTCTCACTGCCTCCAACCCCTTCATGTCGGCAAGAGACTCGCTAGTATCCATGTTTGATGACATAAGAAAGAAAGTGAGTTAGTTTGTATTTTTCATGTCTCTACAGAGATGTTTCATTATTGGTTTCATTATTGCTACTACTGCTATTGATATTAATGCTATTCTTACTGTTATATTATATTTCACATCTGTAAGATTGAAACTGGGAATAACCCTATTTTACCATTTTCTCTCATCATTTTGTCACACCCACATAGTCCCAGATCCCAGGTACTGTGAATCATTTTTTCTTTCTTGCTTTCTCCTTCCATCCCTCCACCTCCCAATACCTAGTACCAAGCAGTGCAGCGTAGCGAGCCAGACCAAGACATAGG